GAACAGACGGCAAACGGGCAAGAGGCTCATCTGATGTTAAGTGATACCATTGTTTTATAAGGAAACAGTCCAACTAGTACTAGATATCCGAAATACTTGATCAACTTGACCTAATCTAGAATCTGCGTGGGAGTCCCAATTCAAGGGCTTTTGTTTGGCCCTTATTACCTTGTGATTGGGCATCAGAAGCGTAGGATGATTTTAACATTGACACTGCTAATACGTAATAGATTTTCGCATTTTGTTGTGAGATTTTTGGTTTAAGTTACGAGTGCGCTATTACACGAAATAGAAAAAAATTGTATCATGAATTTATTAAGTTTGTCAGTAATATTTAATTATTACAATTAATTGGGTAGCGAGGAATGCCAGCATTAAAGGTACAGGGGCTGTTCAAGTATTACGTAAGCAGATTTACTGCAATTTATTCCCCACCCCCACCCCCCTCTTGTCAGTAAAAGTAAGCTCTCAAAAATAATAGTACATAAACGTTTTAATTTTTGTAGGAATCCTCGAAAATGCATTTCGTTTTTAAGCATAGACAGTATGTGTAAAAAAGTAAATAATTACTGTTGACGTAATCACAGACACCCCTCTATAGTGCTTGACAAATGAGGGGGAAAATAGAGGGGCCCACACAATAAAGAGAATTAAAAATAATTACTAATAAACAACTTTTCTTTTTATATAAATAAATTCTAAAAGAATCTCGGTTTCACAATAATTGAGTGAAAACTGATTTTTTTAATTTTATTTGGAAAACATTTCACTCCTTTGTCGCTCGCTCCAGACATCTAAATCAGGCCCTGATTAAAATCATAATATAATGTAATCCCGAACTTGAATACGATTTAGTTCCAAATTAGTTTCATGACAGAACGACATTACGACTTCCAATTGTTTCATTTTTATGTTTCACCGTACCAGTGAGCACCATCCTCAGTTCGTGTATTTTTGGTTATTGATAAAACGCAATAGACGCGAGGACATTATTAATGTAGCGGAAATATAATCAATAAAGCTTTATATAAATTTGACGAATATTTAAATGATCCTAATCCTTGGGATTGATTTGCTCTCAAACAATTTTTATAACTCAAAACTTAGCGATTAAAGAATGTGGTTTCTTGCCAGTTCTACGCCCTTGACTTGCGAACTGGTAGTAAATGTAAATTTAATTTAACTTCTTTTCTAACGTTCATAAGTGTACTTGTTTACCTATATGAATTAAGTTATTTTGACTTGACTTTACTAAAGCCTATGTCAATATTCTAATGATAGACGGCTCATTGGTCTAGTGGTTAGTACCCCTGACTGCGAATCCATGGGTCCCGGGTTCGATCCCCGGCTGAGACGAACATCGATGTGATGAGCATTTGGTGTTGTGCTTAGGTCTTGGGTGTTTAAATATGTATTTATATGTCTATCTATCTATAATATGTCTGTATATCCGTTGCCTAATAACCATAACACAAGCTTCACCAGCTTAGCATGGGACTAGGTCAATTGGTGTGAATTGTCCAATAAAAAAAATTATTGAATCCATTATTTTTAAGTTTGTATTATCAGTGTTGGTCTAAGCTTCAGTCGACTCTCATCCCTGAGGTCGTAGATTCTATAAAGGATGAAAAATAGAATATGTTGTCCGATTCTCAGCCGAGTTCGAGCCGTTTCGGAGGAGTATGGGAACGAGACATTGTGACACGAAATTTTATATATATTTCGCTTTGCTGGGCGAATAAAAATAGGAAATAAATGAAATTTTACGTTTCATTATTATTTTTTTCATATTTTTATTATTCTTCTTTTAACTTCCCACTAAGAAAATTAAAATTTTCGAAAATCGAGTTTTTAACAGATGTTGACGTTTTGAGGTTCTAGGAAGCCTCCCCGAATGTTTCCGCGGTGAAGTCCGTATGTATAAATTTTCATAAAAGTAAAACAGCAATTGGAATTTAAAAAATAAATAGCCATAAACCATCTAGGAAAATTTCGCATCGAATGGCAGTAGTTTCATGTCGATACGATCAGTGGTTTAGGCGTGAAGGAGCCTCAAACGAAGACCATTTTTCATATATATAATACTAGCTGGCCTGGCGAACATCGTACCGCCTAACAGTCGATTCTTTATTTGTTTAAAATACTTATTCTGCTATTCGGGACACCGGTCTTGCTAGTAAGATAAAAAAAGATAGTTGATAATACAACAAATACATTATGTCAAAAAATAAAAATTTACCTTCCCGGAAACCCTCCACTAACACTTGAACTTTATGATATGGTATTAAAGTTCAAATTGCCTTTAAATATTATTACGAATATTTAGTATGGGAATACAGAAAAGTGTTGTTTTTAGACTTTTTCACACAATTTTTTTAATTTTTCTCTCCGTAAGAACCATCCTCGTACTTCAAGGTATATTATAAAAAAAATCAAACAAATCGGTCAAGCCGTTTTCATGTTATGTCGTGACAACGGAAAACGGGTTTCATTTTTATATATATAGAAGATTTTTATATATTAGATTACTGGGTGTCAGCAATAAAGGCTTAATAATAATAAATATTGTATATATCTTCTACATATATATAGTATTATATAGACAATTCAACGTAAAGTTAAAAAAACGAATCGTGTTTCCTTATAGCCTCATTAATTATTCAAACCGTAAGTAATACATTGTTTTTTATCACGAAAATGCGATGATCACGCGTTCAATCCATTTTTGGTGTAATTTACATACGAACATGCCGACATGTTTTTTTACCGATATTAATGAGGCGTGGTATACTAACTATTGACCGAGACTTGCATTGTCAAAAACTTATTGGATTTGACGGGAGTGATACTTAGTCATGCTGAAATCATATTTAGGTCTAGCTGTAATAATAATCTATACTAATAATCTATACTATAATAATATTATAAAGAGGAAAGATTTGATTTTTTGTTTGTTTGAAATGAATAGGCTCCGAAACTACTGGACCGATTTCAAAAATACTTTCACCGTTGGCAGGCTACACTATTCCCGAGTGACATAGGCTATGTTTCATTTTCAAAAAAATTAGGGAATCTTACTAAAACTTCCTTCAATCGCGTGCGCTGCGAAAACTATTCATGATAGAACAAAATGATGTATTAAAATTTTTCAGGTCACATCACTATCTATAAAAAATGTCGCGACAGCATGTTTCTATCTTTTATAGTTACGTCACAATAAGCGTCCTTTTTATTATTTTTTTAATTAAAATACCACCGCTAGAAAAGGTTCTTTATTCGTACCTAGGTATTCTTATCAAAATAAATACCAACGTTTCACATAAGCTACAATTTAATGGCATAACCACCAAAAAAGCATGGCGGATTGGTGTTCTGCCGTTTCTCTTGAATAGTTTACTACTATGTAATATAACAAAAATCTTAGCCACAGCAATGCATGGCCGAGTCTACTAGTACTAAATAAAGGCAGATAGGACGTTGTCAACATTATATAAATTAATTTATAAGTTTATTTTGTAACCAAGTACTGTTACCACAACCGTGACTATAATTTATGCAATTTACGACAAATTGTCGAGGGAAAGTTGATGTTTTCGTGACTTACTGCGGGGTTTTTAACAATTCCATGATAAATAGTTTGTGAAAAAGTTCGGGATGGGGCGAGCTTTGAGCTTCATGTAATTTATTAGTTCCTTCAACTTTGTTGAATATGTTTTTGATATGTAAGATATGCTAACTGCGGACTGCGTGATATACATTGATATTTATTTCCAACACACACACACACACATTATATATAGACAAAGATATAACATGTAGTACTAATAAGACACACAAAATAACAATAATCAAACAAATATAAAAAAATAATAAAATATAATTTTTTGTTTCTTTTAAAGAACAAGGTATATTTTAAGTGTGCAATGTGTGTGTGCTGTGGTTGTAATTGGCCTTGGCTCAGCATTATGCTGAGAAGCAGAATGTTCCACAGCGCTGGTCATTCTGCCAGAGACCACAGCAGCTAGTTTACGCCTCAGTCACAAAAAAGAATGTAATAATAATAATACTTAGTAAAAAAAATAAGTAAAAGTTACCAGTGTAAAAGTATATACATATATAGTAAATTAAGTTACATTAAAAATAATAATAAGAATAATTGTTAAGAAATACATTAATCAATATTTTTGGGCGGATTAAAAACTAAATTACGTGGGATTTTTGTTGAGTAACTAGATGTTCTAATTGCGACGAAACTTTGATTTTGAACATTTTTCAACGGATTTTTCGTCCCGTATGAGAAACTCCCACAAAATGCCGTCCGATGCTGGGGAATGGCGAGCTCTTGAGTACAACTCCTAACTTTCTTCTTTCGTTCTTGTTGACGTTCACCAGGGGATATATAATAATAATATAAGAAAATTAAAATAATATAAGAAAATTAAATCCTGGCTTTTACTCATTTAAAACTTTGATTAGCGTGTGTTCTCCAAGAGTCTGTACTCCAAAGCCAGCTTTTTTGCTTGTCCAAGTAGCATCGCATACCAAAATGTGTTTTTTTAAACGATTAAATGAATCGTGTATTATCGGCAAGAACAAAGCTCGCACGTTTCCATCATATTTGGTATGTTTGTCTGGCTTTTTGCTAGGTTCAAGGCGATGCCCTATATGGCTTTACATGATTTGATGATTATAATGATTATAATATGTGTATTCCCAATATATCTAGAAATTTTCTGAAAAAAAAAAGTTTAAGAACTGAACATAATATTTCTGTATTTGTTCCGTGATCATTTGTTTTTTCTAATAAGTATACTTCTGTGCCTGACAGAAGACGTCGAATTTTTTGTGTCTACTCGGATTCACACACTCTTACACAGTCTTAACAAATACACACACACACGTGTTAGTTATATTTTGTCCTCAATCAGCAGATGATGGTATCACAAACTTTATAAAATTCGATAAAAAAATATTTTTTTTGTTTTTCAGATGTGTCAATAATGGCATTCTACCGTTGTGGACCGACAGCCATCGGCAGCCGGGCATCCTGGTCCGTGACCAGCCCTGATAAGACATATGAGCGTCCTCTAAGTGGAAATTATGATAGGATCTTCAACGCCTTTGAAAGGACCAACGCGTTTGAGTACGTCAAGAGCACCTTCGAGGGGAAGGAAGAAAGGTATATTATAAATAAAAGAAGAGGTATCCAAAGAAGTCACTTCTTAAAACTTTTCTTATAGGATTTTATACTAAAACAAATAAGTGAGCACTTAATGTAACTTACTAATATAATATCTGGAAAGCCTCGTAGACTTCCGTCTCGTCTTGCAGAGTGAGTTCACAGTAGCGTAATATAAATTACGTGTCACGTTGTTTGTCCGCTATGGACTCCTAAACTACTGAACCGATTTCAATCAAATTTGCACATCGTGCGGTTTGATCTAACTTAAAAGATAGGATAACTTACATCTCAATTTATACCCGCAATATTATTTTATTGCAAAATATTTGTTAATTATTTGATAGTCACAATTCTAACAGATGGCGCTGTGTTGAAAGTACCAACGTATACGCTACAATTTAATGGCATAACCACCAAAAAAGCATGGTGGTCCCCATGACTGGTGTTCTCCTACCGTTTCCCTTAAATAGTTTACTACTGTGTAATATAACAAAAAACCTTAGCCATAGCAACGCTTGGCCGGTCTGTTAGTAATATATATTATAATTTCGACAGTATCGTATTGGCTTATTATAATAATAAATAAATAATAATAAAAACTTTATTTATGACACAAGGGTTGTGACAGAATTCAAATATCGCTAGTCCCCACACTAAGGAGGCCCTGTGTTGTAGTCTAGTCGACAAGTTGAAAATGGTACAAAATAGAGATACTCTCTTAAAATTATGTCGATAGCTCATGGATCGGAATGACGTCTAGAAAAATGTGCTAAAAGCGTGTATTACACATAAAAAATTGCAAAAGCTATAGACAATTAAAGATGAAAAAAAATGGCATTTAGTTTTTGCCAATATTTAATAAACTATTAATATTTAAGAAATTTCAAAAAAAGATTCTGAAAGAGGAGAAGATTTCGAAAATTTCGTTAGTTAACAATTATTTAACTTGTTGAAAAATTTACTTTAAGTAAAATTTTCAACGGGAATAAATTAATTATAGTGTTCAGAATACACCATAATATTTTCAAATTAAAAAAAAAATATTCAATCTTAAATAAATTAATTAATGTGCCGTAGTCGCTTTTGACGCCACGCGCGAAACCTAAAAATGTCACCCGCAGACCTATTTTCAGCGTTAAATTAAAATTATAAATAATGGAATAGAGTTCCGGATTAGGAGTTTTATTGGAAATTTCCTCCTCTCAGAATCTTTTTATTTTGAAATTTCTTAAATATTAATAGTTTATTAAATATTGGCAAAAAACTAAATGCCATTTTTTTCATCTTTAATTGTCTTAACTTTTGCAATTTTTTATGTGCTAATACACGCTTTTATCACATTTTTCTAGACGTCATCGGACCAATGAGCTATCGCACATAATTTTAAGAGCAGTATCTCTATTTTGTTCCATTTTCAACTTGTCGACTAGACTATTGTGGGTAACTAGAAAACAATTATTACGTGGTGCATGTTTGAAACAGTTAAAACAAGATAATAATAAAAACATTAGTGTTACGACGTAAGGAATGAGTGAGTGTGTGAATGGGTGTGTATGCGGATGTATTTGAGAGTGTAGCTGAAAGTTGTTATGATCGTGCACTGTGTCTGTATTAGTTTTTGAAACTTCAAAGTCATACCAAGATATGAAGCGTCTGTAGATTCGAAATCCAATTTGGTTAGTGTAATTTCTATGTGACTTGCGAGTTTATATCTGGATAGTTTTATGAAGAATCCATAGATTTGGAAATTTTATTATTAGAATACAATCTTTTAGGGGCCTCATAGCCTAGCGGTCTTATTAAGTGGCAGCTACGTGAGGGGCACCGGGTTCGATTCCCGGTTCGAGGGCAAGTTTTAATTTAATTTAAATTTGTTCTCGGCCTTTGGGAGGGTTGTGCGGTACCGGGCGAGTGCCTAAACCGTACATGGAGGACACGGTCGAATTTCTAAAGACAAGCACGAATTATAAAACATCCTATACTTGACGCTGGCTAATGCACAAATCGTGCCAGAGCCATAAAAAAAAATTAGGATACAATTTATTTTTTTTGATAAATAAATTGCATAAAATTGTTTTTAAATCAGTTTATTCAACAGTTAAAGGTTTTTAATTGTTACGTTTGATACGCTTTAATTACTTCTACGAAAAACTAATTAGGCACAAACAGTTTAATTCTAAGCTAAAAAACAGGATTGTTAACAAATTGAACTAATTAGACTAATATCAGGAACGGAGCGTTGCTATTTAGTTGAAGCTTTTAATATATTGTGTTCGCGTAGCAGTGGTTGTGTTAATCAAGTGTTGTGGAAAACTTTGTTACCTGTCCACATCGTATCGCTAAGGTACTGATGTGAAACTTATCTAATATTATAGACGACTCATTGGTCTAGTGGTTAGTACCCCTGACTGCGAATCCATGGGTCCCGGGTTCGATCCCCGGCTGAGACGAACATCGATGTGATGAGCATTTGGTGTTGTGCTTAGGTCTTGGGTGTTTAAATATGTATTTATATCTATATATCTATAATAATATGTATGTATATCCGTTGCCTATTACCCATAACACAAGCTTCACCAGCTTAGCATGGGACTAGGTCAATTGGTGTGAATTGTCTTAAAAAAAAAAAAAAAATATTATCGTGATTCATCTGCACTTATTCTTTTTCATATGTCCTTTTTTTAAATATCTTGATGACTTTAATAAGCTTTGTTTGCTTTGTTTTCTTCCATTCGCTAAATAACTTTATGTGTTATGTATTTTTGTACTTGTTGCTTACCTTATTTAATTTAATTATTGAAGTTATACTTCGTTTGGCGCGTTAGGTAGTGTGATGAGAGTACATTTTTACGATGCAAACCGTCACAAAAAACCGACACCCTGAAGTTAGCTATAGTCAACATTTTAGGTTTTGCTATTGTTAGTGTCGTTTCTTCTACAAACGTAGAATACAATTTTCGAAAATAATTTTATCTTATTACGGCAAAGTAGTATAACTTCTAACGCGTTCACATAAGTACATACACGTTTTTTTTCACACAGTGGTTGCCTGGACGAGATCACTCGAAATTTAAAGGCCGCCGGTAGCCCATTCATTTAATTATGTCAATTGTATTATATTGCTGCAACGAATTGTTAATAAATAAGTATCACAAAGCCATGACTGCACAACATTAATATATTCTTCTCCTACAGGCATACGGGATGCGGTGAATTGGTGGTAAATCGCAGAATGTCGAGCAGTTTCGAGAGGGCGGACTGTGCGCTGGCTGCGCAGACGCCGTGTTCTGAAGACGAGGAGTTTTATAAGGAGAAGGTGCTGTACTCACAAGCCAGACAACTGTTCCCATTGCAGGAGGACTTGGCCGATTGGATCAATAAAACTATTGGTAAGCTTTTCTCTTTAAAGCTTTGAGATTACGATTACGATCTTTCGAGAACTTCTCAGAAATTGGTCACATCTATCAACTAGACATATTAATAACAGGAATATATCCTCCCGAAATCCATTTATATCCTTCAAAAATCAGTTATATTAAATACTGCAAAGTAACACGCCTAAGACCCAACAAAATAGATACATCTCTCTCTCTATACAATAAAAAAGTTAAAAATAAAACATAAAATAAACACATTGGATGTATCCACAAAAAGTTTCACTGATAAAAAAAGAATGGTGCGTGTACTTATGTACGCGCGTAAGAAGTTATACTTCTTTGGCTTTCTTTGTTTTTTTAAATATTAAATAATTAATAATAAATATTTAGCGTTATTAATTTAACAATATTTAATATTTAGTATATTATTCAATTATTAATTAATATTAATAATAATTATTATTTTATTATATTATTAATTCAATTTAATAACTAGGTATGTTTCATAACCTTTTAACTAAGTAACAATAGGTCTTTGTGAAAAAGCATTGCTAAATTTCTTTGAAAAAATAATTAAAACTCCTTTATTTGTTTAAAAGGTACTACAAATGTCATTATGGTCATTCAAAATTCTTGGCATTGTTGCTAACTTCACGCATATTCTATTTCTTTTTACTTGTAGATTGTCTTATTCCCATCTCGCTCGCGTACGCTCGGCGCCCATACTGATAATTTTGTGTCACGGTGTCACGGCTCATAAATTTTTCATAACGCGCCTAAAGAAGTATAACTTCAAAATATGATACAGAGCAAAGCAAAACAAACTAATAGCTATAATAAAGAAGAAAGACACAAGGATTAGGACATTAATAGTTGTTTTAAATTATTAATGAATCCCGTGAATGTCCAATACCTCCCGTATTGTCATCTTGATTATGAATGGTACCTTCAGCGGTTAATTATCACAGTCAAGGTCAGGGTCAACGCATTGAGCGATGTACATTGCCGGCTAATATAACCAAATCAAGCCTTTTAGATTACACTTCTTGTTTTTTGAAGGCATTAAAGTTGGATAATTATTGCAACTAATTATAATTGATAATTCTCTATTGTTAAAATTGTTGTATACAGAACTACCATAGTCCACATCTGTGGGTGTAAGTAGGTTAGATTTGCTCCAGTTCAAACATTTTGTATGACGTAAAACTTGGCGATTAAAAAGAGTGGCGGAGTTTCTTGCCAGTTCTTGACCACTCTTGACTTGAAAACTGGTAGTAATGTAAATTTAGAACGAATTTAACATCTTTTCTCACGTTCACAAGTGTAATATATACCTAAGTAAATAACAGGTTAATTCATTTAGATTTTGAAATAGGCAGGATGTCTTTAGACTTATGTTCACAGCTTTATAAATAATAGTACAAATTCTGCGTGGGAGGGCGTATCAATGAGTTCTTTTGTATGTTTTTGTCATTAGCCAAACAGGTGTGCGTGGGTGTTTTGTTATTATCTATACTACTATACGGCTGAAGCTTATCTCTGGAAGTGATCATCGTCAATAATAGATGAATCAAGAGTTTGCAGCGGTCTTATAGAAATTATATAAAGATCTCCTTCCTGAGCCTCCGCTAAAAATCACAAACCCTCTCTCGCTACTCCTCTCTTCGAAGACAATCTTCTTAAAGCCACAGCCAGCATCGGAATACTAGGTGACATATCGACTACGTTAAGTTTTCCGGTCATTTGGAGGTAAAGGCTAGACTAGCCTCCAAGAAGCTTTGTGTGGACAGCAAGGCAAAACGATACTTCACTCCTAAACCGCAAATTCGGCTCCACATGAAAAACTGTTCTCACTTCTCGTTGATGACCAGTCACTTTCCGAGCGGCTTAATCCCTTGGCGTTGCGTAGAGATGTAGGATCTTTCGGCGTCTTCTACCGCATTTACCATGGAGAGCGTTCAGAGGCGTTGTTCGGATTAATGCCGACGATTACGAAATACCACCCCTAACACCTCGACGTCGTTCCACAACTGAGCGTTATTGAAGGCAGTTTTTTCCGCGTGCCCCCAAATGTTGATCCAGCATTTCCGAACCAATTCGACTTAGGATCCTTTAAGAAAAGAGCGTACCAATTCTTAAAAGCCGGCAACGTATTCTCCTCTGGTTTGGGCGGCGGTAACATTTTAGCATCTTGCCCGTTTGCCCCTTGTTCTATTTAGAAAAGGTCCCTGATATCTCCCCACCAAAGGTCTATCGGGTATTCTCTTGTTTGTATATGATCGGAGGAAGTAATATTAATAACAGTCTCCGGTAACTGTTTAACTGGAGCAATGAAGCATTTAACCGTCGGGTTAAGTTACCGTCAGATGATACATTAACCTCAAAACTGTTACAAAACGTTAGTAAACAAAAGATTCAATCAAATCATAAGAATCTCTTCATTTATTACCTCTGAAGAGTTTATTAATGATTAATATAAATAAAAAAATATGTGTGTACATATGTACACGCGTTAGAAGGTATCCTTCTTTGGCGTAACAAGATAAAAATCTTTTCAAAAAAATATTCAACGTTTGTAGGAAAAACGGCACTAACAATAGATAAAAGGTATTTAATATATTGAAAGTTTTATTATAACGCGGCGTTATCTAGCTAAATAAAGTTTATTTAAACATCACAAAAAAAATATTTCTACATAATTAAAGAAATGGACATTTTTCATTTTAGCATGCAACTCATACATATTGACTATTTAATTCACGTCCATTGGTTGGAGTTCAGTAGACACGTGAGTTAAAATATTTTTGAAGAAACATTGTCTAAATATCGTACAAATACAGCATCAATAGTTGTATAAAAAAAACTAAAATGTTGACTATAGCTAACTTCAGGGTGTCGGTTTTTTGTGACGGTGTGCGTGCACATCGTAAAAATTTACTCTCATCATTTTTCCCTAAAAGAAGTTTAACTTCAATAAAAATTAATTGCAAAAAACGTTACTAAGCGCAAAGCTCGACTCGGACCAATTCGGGTATTTTAACTCTGAAAAGGGATTTTATGAGAGAAATTGAGAAATTGGTTTTTTTTCCGGAAATGCGAACAGTCTCTTTGGGGAAGCATAGCAAAATGTTCCATGTTGGTATGTACTAAAAGGTTAGGCTAAGTTAAATCACATTAAGGAGAAACGAAGATCGTGGGTTCAACTATTATTTTCTGAGTTGTTCGGACTAATTGCTGTTTTAAAAGAGTACCGAGAGTTTTTTACGCCGGCTTTTTCTCTCGGCCTACACCCTCTGTCTTCTTTGCCGATGAGTAGGGATGCCTTCAAATTTAATGACGTGGAATAAGTGATACATGTATCTTATGTTCCATAATAAACATATTTTTTTTTTTTATTAATACCTGCAACTGACTTTCATGATCAGACAGGTCAAGGCAGAATACAAAATACGGTTTAGCCGCGCACCACCAATATGTGAAACCAGCTGCCCACTGAAGTATTTCCGAACCAATTCAACTAAGGGTCCTTCAAGAAAAGATTACCAATTCTTAAAGGCCGGCAACGCACTTGCGATTCTGGCAATGTGAGTGTGGGCGTCGGTTTGCCTCTTCAAAAAATTAATCTGTCCAACTAGGGTTACAGGTTATAACACTTAAACCATCATCTATGATATTGTTTCGAAGTTCCGTTAGCGAGACGGATGCGAGCTGTTTTCGCATATCCGCTGTCCTGTTATGGTTTTCGTCGATTTGCATAAATTTTATACTTTAAATATGCATAATACGCAATTCGTTACAGTCCATGCGAGTAGTTGAGCCCCGGGGGCCTGAAAATATTAATAGCGAGAAAAAGTGTATTATACAAAGTCGTTGCTCAATGACTTCCAATTGGGTATGGGGCTGCGCGGACGCCCGCCGGTCTCAATAGTTTTGTCCTGTAGGTGGGCTGAAAAGTTCGTAGGCTTACAAAAAATCATTTTTTGATAGAAATTCATTTATACTCGTATCTTTTGAAAACCCGTATCTTTTATTGTTATATATATTATAACGTTCTATATAATTTAAGGATTATAATTTTGTATAATATATCCTAAGTATCACGGTTTGAAAAGATTCCTTAAAGTTATGTTTCCCTTGTTAGGCTTTCTCCACTGTTTTATCGGTGCAAGTATATCCAAGTATCCAAGAGGTTATAAATTATTATTCACAGGTTTATTTATAGTTTTTTTAATTTGAAAGAATCTGAATAACCTGGACCAAACCAAATTATGTTGCTATTTATTTACATTTTTATACCATAGTATTAGTAAACTTGCCAGGACATTAAAATATTCAGAATTTAGAACGTTTTATTAATAAAATAAAGTATATGGGTTTTTGTTAATATAAGTGTTTCATGATAAATATACAAGTATCGATTATTGTCGGATCGGATATAGTGGAGAAGCGCAATCCGGCCTTCCGATATTTTTCTCATGACTCATTCCGGTATCCGACGCCGGACCGGAGCAGTGGAGAAAGGGCCTTACGGGGATTTACAAGGGTAATTTTCTTTACCATTTGTTTCTGAAACGATTCGTATTCGCGTATAGACCCCGGTGTAATTACAGGTTATATATCCTAATCATCCCCTGGTTTGAGAAGATCTCCTTAATGTTATATTTCCCTTGTTACGGTGATTTACTCGGGGAATTTTCATTTATCAGTTGTCCTAAAACCATTCGTTTCGCGTATAGAACCCGGGCTAACACGTCCGTACTGCCTATTAATATGTAATTCAAATTAAAACTTTCTTTTACTTCTCCTATTTTTGGATATATTTTCACAATTTCATTTTTCTTTGACGACTGTTTGATAAAAAATTTTGTCTAGCCGCTTTTAATTTTCACGCTATTTGCGTAACACTAGAATTTCGTTTTGCAAAATCGTTAAAGTTCTGTTGCCCTTGCGATTTATTAAAAGCTTCAAGTGGAACCGGTCGAAAACTTGTAGTTTCATTGCTATGCAAGGTT